AGGGAGGGAGGAAGGGAGGGAGGGAGGGAGGGAGAGAAGGAAAAGAAAGAGAAGGAAGGAGAAGAAAGAGAAGGAAGGGGAGGGGAGGGAAAAGAGGCACAGGCCTGAAATATAGCACATCACTGAACATGGATCTAAAGAGACCATCAGGACTCTGGAGTACTGTGAGCCAACCCCACTTCTCTCAGTCAAGAAACTCCCACCTGAGCAGTGCTATTGTAGGTTTTCATCCAGCTCTCTCACCTAAACACAAGCAGTTGGTTAAGGCTGGAGGCCAAGGCCCTCAACTCTGCAGCCATAGGCCTAAAAGATTTCTGCTCCGAGGATCGGAGTCCCAGCACCCTTCAGGTCCCTTGTCCTGTCACAAAATTACATGGTAGAAGATACATGTGCCCCTGACCCAAGTGCCCTAAGTCCCTGTTATTCTTCCAGGGCCAGAGAGAAAAAGGGCACAAACTCCAGTTCCAGAGCAGTGACCTAAAAGCTTTGGTCCCTCCTCCTTTCTCAGTGGACACCCCCTTCATCTCTTTCCTGCTGGCCCCGCCTCCTGATCACTGGCCCCACCCTTTCCTACTAGCCCTGCCTCCTTTCTTGGCAACCCTGCCTCTTCAAGGAGAAAGAAGCATTCTGGACTGGAAATCACATAACCACTGAGTACTCCTTGCAAAGTGTGTCAAGGGTGAAACTTCTCAACAGAGCATAAGTCCAAGTCGACGGTGCTGTCCAGTGTCTGAGGTAGACAGGAATAGACAGGAACTCGTTTTGGTTCTTTGAATGATTAAGCGCCTCCCCTCTAATTTCCCAAAGGCATAGATGGTGGTTCTTTTGATCGGAAATCGGTGTACCGTGGCTCACTGACACAGCGGAATCCTAATGGGAGGAGAGGGACAGCCAGGCACGTCTTCGCGGTAATGTCTCCTCTCTCCGTGTGACCAGTCAGCTTTATGTTTTTATAATGTCTCCTCTCTCCATGTGACCAGTCAGCTTTATGTTTTTATTCTAAGTCTTAGTTGGGAAAGAAAGTGAGGTGGGAGCAGGGGTAACCATCCATCTGCAAAGTGAGAATTGAAAACATTTCTTTAAGTATCCCGAGTATAGCAAGGAGGAGAGAATGGCAGAATCACTAAGCACCCAGTTCCCAAGGGGCAGGCTCAGATCTGGAGAGGGACCAATCCAGAAGCTACAAGGCTGCTCTCTAGTGAGCCCTCAGGCCAGGCAGGGCCAATGGATCCAGAGGGTGGACCCTGAAGACCCTCATTTGACCCCTGAGGCCCTCAATTCATCAACTTGAGCACTGGACACAAGAACAACTCAACTGCCTAGGCCTCTGCACTGAACCAGGAGCATGCCCCATGGTTGCGCTCAGAAATGACACTGTGACCTGTCAGATGACAAGATTAGGGCCCTCATCTTGGAGATACTCATGTTGATGGTGACAAGTGCCCTTAATCAAGGCCTAGACACACTTTGTGTTAGTCCAATGTTCATTACTGTAATGAAATAACACTAGGCAGGCAGGCTACTTATAGAGAAAATAGGCTTACCTGACTCATGGGTCTGCAGGGTTCAAGGATATAATGTCAGCCTCACCTCTTAGCAAAAGTTTGTAATGGTGGGGACATCTGTAAGGAGAGATCATTTCACCAGCAGGAGAGTGAGGACCATTCAGGAGTCACAGGAACCAGATAAAGACTTTAAAAAGTGTGTATCTGTGTGAGGCTGTGTGTCAGTGTGAGTACATGCCAGTATGTGCCATGTGTGTGGGCACCAGCAGAAAGGCCACTGAGATCCCCTGAAGCTGGGGTTGTAAGCCACCTGGATGTGGGTGCTGAGAGCCAAACTCAGGTCCTCCAGAAGAGCAGGAAGCACTCTTAACCACTGAGACATCTCCCCACCCCCATGCTTTAGTGAGAACTCACCAGGCCCCAAGAGAACGTCTTTAATCTTTTCCAAAGACCCCCAGTGACCTAAGCTCCAGCTAAGCCCCGCCCATCAAGGTCCAGCACCACACTGGTACCAAACCTCCAATATATATGAACCTTGAACTATGCCAACTCCATATCTCTCCCTACCCCTATTTTACCAACACTGTCCAATGTTCACCTCAGCTTACTTCTAGTTTCAAGGGTGAGAAGAGACCTTCCTGGCTTAATTCTTCAAACCTTGTCCAAGAAGATTGAGCTCCGAATTTATTGTTTTCTTAAAAAGTTGCCTTGGGCTGGGGGCGTAGTTTGGTGGCAGGCTGTCTGTTTAGCATGCACAAGGTCGGGAGTTGGTCACCAATGCCACAGGGAAGCAGTAGTTTTCTTGGGATGGCCTAAGTATTTTTTCAAAATGTATGTCTGAATCTGCCTGCCATCTAAGCTGAATATTAATGACGACTAGGAAAGGGTATTTCAATGCAAAGCACCGGGGTAGCCTAAGCCATTGTCCTCTGCAGTGGCACACACAGAACCAGGGGCTTGCCTGTGTACCTGTGTACTGTGTGTACATGCACATACCTGAGATTGAGTCTCTATGTATCCACACCTACATGTGTTTTCCCTCATATATACCTATGTCTGTGTCTATGTGTGTACCCATGTGTCATGTACATGATGGCATGTATTCTGTGCATGTCCACATGGGTGGCAGCATACATGCCTGTGTGTGTGTCTGTGTGTACAGCACGTCTCTCTGTATCCACATAGACATATCTATGTGAATAAGCTGGTGTGTATATCTGTGCATGCCAACATGTGTGCACACGTGTGTCCATACATATATCTAAGTCTGTGTCTATATCCCCCTGTGTGAATGCCTGTACACATGTATGTTTCTCTGTTACATCTGTATCTGTCACATAATTGTGAGTATATTTTTTACATTGGCATGTACACTTTGTACATGAACCCATGTGCACACCGAGATGAATGTGTGTTTGTGCTCTGCAGAAACCCGTGATGGCCCAGCAGCCGTGAAAGAGCAAGTTCATGAGCACAGAAGAGTACCACAAAGCACCCCACACTGTCTCCTCCACGTGGCCATCGCATCCCCATGGGCTCTGTGCTTCTTCTCACAGCTGCTTGTAGTCACCCTCCCAGTGAGAAATAAGAACTTCCTGTGTGGATCCACTTGTGAGATGGCGTTTCTCAGACTTCTGGCTGTCACCAGGCCACTGACCAGAGCCAGGATGCCTGCCAGCCTCTGACCTGGGAGATACAAAAGGATGTGATTTTCCTCTCAGATGATGCTCTCTATCCGAGGAACACCCAGATACTCTTTCCCTATGACCCTTTAACCCCGTCTCTTGCCTTTGTTGGGCCACATTCACAGATGTGATGGAAAGGATGGTCCAGTGGGGGCCCTGAGCATGTTCACATTTCTGACTTTGAGGGAGAGAGGCAGATACCAGAGTCTGTGGGTAAGATGGGAGAGTGAGCATTACAGACAGTGAACAAAGAGGGCTAGATTCCTCACCCACCCCACAGACCTTGTTCTCCACGTTTCCTTGTGGGTCACAGACAGGAGCCATAACACTGACCCCCACCCCAGAGTTTCCACCACCAGCCGCAGTGCCTCATTGAGGCCAAGTCTCTAACACAGGCTTTGGGGGTACACTACATAAGGACCTCACTTTCCTAGACACCTCATGCTTTAAACACAGGTTTCTTGCTCACACAAATGATGGCTTTGGGATTTATCAAGAATTCAGGTTTTCCAAAGCCAGGTGCATCAGAGCCAGTCTTGCTCATGACTGCACAGTCTGCTCTTCACAGCCACCCCACCTCTGTCAGGAGGCAGTCTCCTACTCCTCTTTCCCATCAGCTTGTGTCATGTTCCAGAAGTCCAGAGAACACTCAGGCCACAGCCACAAACATCCCAGTGTGCTCTGAGAAGGAACTTCGGAAGAAACCTGTCATGGCTCAAAGACCCACATCTCAGGAGTCCCACATTTGTGCCCTGTGTCCTTCTAGCAAAGGACTGCAAAATAAGCCAATCACAGCCACATGCAATGAGCCCTCCTGACTTCCAGAGGACAAAAGTCCAATCAAGGTGTCCATGGGATTTGCAGTCTAAGGCATAGGTGCCTGTTGCTCCTTCTGGGATTGAAGCCATCCCAAAACACCTTGACTTCAGTCACCACCCTCACCTTCATGTCCCCTTGCCCTGTATTGTGACTTCAGTCCCCATCCTCACCTTCATGTCCCCTTGCCCTGTGTGACTCTGAACAGCCGTGGTCCTGTCAGGACACCGTTTGTTGCACGTAGGGTGTGGCCGCCTCAGTATACTTGCAAAAACCCTATTTCCACAGACCATAGTTTCCTGCTCTATCCGAGGAACACCCAGATACTCTTTCCCTATGACCCTTTAACCCCATCTCTTGCCTTTGTTGGGCCACATTCACAGACGTGATGGAAAGGATGGTCCAGTAGGGGCCCTGAGCATGTTCACTTTCTGACTTTGAGGGAGCGAAGAGCATTGGCCAGGGAGCCCTGTTCAAATGGGGGTTCCTTTACTGCAAGGAGCAGAAATCCATGTAGACCTGTGGGGAAAGGCACAGAGTTTCTCCTGCAGTCCAGGGACACAAGCATCCAGCTTTGGGGAGTAGGAGGGTGGGGCATACCCTCACAGCCTCTGCCTCTCCCCACACCCCTGCTCTTCATTTTGTCTGTCAACTGTTCAGAATTCCAGCTGATGCCCCATGGTCTCTCTGGCTACAGCTCTGTGATTACCCCAGTCTGGCAAGCACAGCTCACCATCCCTTACTGCACCGGGCAGTCACCTAGGGCCAGGTTCAGAGCCAGTCTTGCTCATGACTGCACAGTCTGCTCTTCACAGCCACCCCACCTCTGTCAGGAGGCAGTCTCCTACTCCTCTTTCCCATCAGCTTGTGTCATGTTCCAGAAGTCCAGAGAACACTCAGGCCACAGCCACAAACATCCCAGTGTGCTCTGAGAAGGAACTTCGGAAGAAACCTGTCATGGCTCAAAGACCCACATCTCAGGAGTCCCACATTTGTGCCCTGTGTCCTTCTAGCAAAGGACTGCAAAATAAGCCAATCACAGCCACATGCAATGAGCCCTCCTGATTTCCAGAGGACAAAAGTCCAATCAAGGTGTCCATGGAATTTGCAGTTCTAAGGCATAGGTGCCTGTTGCCCTTTCTGGGATTGAAGCCATCCCAAGACACCTTGACTTCAGGCACCACCCTCACCTTCATGTCCCCTTGCCCTGTATTGTGACTTCAGTCCCCATCCTCACCTTCATGTCCCCTTGCCCTGTGTGACTCTGAACAGCCGTGGTCCTGTCAGGACACCGTTTGTTGCACGTAGGGTGTGGTCACCTCAGTATACTTACAAAGACCCTATTACCACAGACCATAGTTTCCTCATGTTCTAGATGGGTGTGGACTGGGGAGACACTGTCTGACCCACTACAGGGCTTGAGAGTTCAGAGACCTCAAAACTTTGCAGTGTCTCCCCAAACAGTGGGATCCTCATCGCTCTGATGAAAGCCAGAGGAAGACCAAGAGGTAGAGCATTGGCCAGGGAGCCCTGTTCAAATGGGGGTTCCTTTACTGCAAGGAGCAGAAATCCATGTAGACCTGTGGGGAAAGGCACAGAGTTTCTCCTGCAGTCCAGGGACACAAGCATCCAGCTTTGGGGAGTAGGAGGGTGGGGCATACCCTCACAGCCTCTGCCTCTCCCCACACCCCTGCTCTTCATTTTGTCTGTCAACTGTTCAGAATTCCAGCCGATGCCCCATGGTCTCTTTGGCCTCAGCTCTGTGATTACTCCAGTCTGGCAAGCACAGCTCACCATTCCTTACTGCACTGGGCAGTCACCTAGGGCCAGGCACATCCTCAGTGCTGGCCACCTAGAGCAGGCCTGTGCTGGATGAGAATTCCCTGCTGTGCCCAAAGCTGGTTCAAGAATCCTTGTTTGGTTCTCCTGTCCTGGGATCCATGGCCCATTAATAAGTCATGGGGAAAGCCCCCTGATCCCTCTGTGGTCAAACTCTCCATGTAACCCACTCCTCAGCTCTGAGGTACCCAGGCCAGGCCTGCAGCTGGAGTTCTGTTGGGTGCTGCAAGAGCACAGGCCACACCTCACCTGCACTTTGCCACCTGCCTTTGGAACATCTCCAAGCGTCGAAAGTACCCCTCAAGTCTGCAGACCCTTTGCCTGGTGCCATCAAGCATGGGGTGAGGCGAAGACTGGGCTGAGACCAAGACCCTTGTGCTGCCTCCCACCCTGCCTGCTGGCTCCCATTTGGAACCTTAAAGGGACAATATGTCCCTACTACACTTTGATAAAGCTACTTTGCCAAAAAGGACCCGTGATCCTAGACAC